TACTCTTGACTAAGAAAAATAATCTAAATAAAAATATATATTTTTAAAAACCACGTTTTTTGTAGTGAAGAATAATAATTGAAAAGTAATAATTTTTAAAAAATATATAATAAAAATTAAAAAAATTATAATTTAAAATAAAAAAATTCAAAATAAAAAATAATATTTTTAAAAACCACGTTTTTGTAGTGGAGAATAATAATTTTAAAAAAATTGAGAAACGAAAAACGTAGCGAGCATGAAATACATAACAGTACATATACACATTTTCTTACTCATACACGTGCACAGCCACATATACATCCACATACATATGCATATACACAAACATATTCCACATCCACATTCAGATACAATTACAATTACAGATATACATACACATATTCTCAAGAGCACACTAATATAACATTACTGTTATGTATTTCATGCTCCCCACGTTTTTCGTTTCTCAATTTTTTTAAAATTATTATTCTCCACTACAAAAACGTGGTTTTTAAAAATATTTTTTTTATTTTTTCCATTAATTTTGCCTTTGAATATATAGCTTTTTTTTCATTTTAATTACCGTTGATTTTAATTATTTACTTTTATCGAAACGCATTTTATAGGGATTACTATAAACAAAATAAACACGTGATATCAGATAACTTTAAAAAGATTAATTTGTTGACGTAATTCATGAATGCTACACATTAATGCTGTTCATTGAATTTATTTGACATAGCGAATGAAATATAATTAAATATTAAAATACGTGCAATAAACTTTTATTTATTAAATAAATGAGCAAGCAAATATCCCTCATGATATCTTTAAAATATTTGAAAAATTGAATTGCCTATAGTTAAATTTGAAACAATGGTGAACGCTTAACCAATCAGAAAGTTCCATTTCGTTTTTCGCTCATCCCGCTCGAATGGTTTGTCGTAGAATGTAGATTTTTGTATTGCTAACAAAGTAAATAATGCCTATTTCATGTTTTACTAGCACTACTTATGTTAACAATCTAGGAAATGAAGTAAAATTTTATCGTGAAATTATTGTACTGCCATCCAAATCAACTTCTTGCTTATTCTAAAAAATATGCAAGATGATAGCAGAAAATCTAATATTCTATAGCGTCAAAATCAATGAAAAATAATATTACCGCGAATTATGGCTAATAAATAGTTTGTATCGTTCTAATATTCGAGTACTATTCTAGTACTAAGATATACTGAATAATGTTAGATTTTTTGATGTTATCTAATATTAAGTTGGGTTCCAAAGGGTGTGTCATAGCCCTCTTGTATTCTATAATAATGACAATCCCTTTCTTTTTCAGGTATGCAAATTTTGTTCAAACACAAGGATTGAAAGATAGTCAATGTATTGTGTTCTGTCACAGAAAACCCAATACACATGACACACGTTCTTCAGAACTTTGTGAGTATTCCTCACCATCTTATTTTTGAATCAAACTTATGATCCTGCAGTGAAATCTACATTAGTTATAATTTAATCTAAGTTTAGGGTTCACTTAAAAAGTTAGAGAAAACCTGTAATTTTTGCTGTTAGCAAAAGCCTTGACAGTGGGTCATGCATTGGTGTCTAAAAACCCAGAAAACTTGTCGAAATACCATTTTTCTTCCTTTTCATAGCATTCTGAAATACGAAATACTCTTAAGTTTTTGCCCTCCCTTCGCTGATGCTTTTTCTATTTTTTGAGATTCGTCTTCTGGCTATTTAAATATCACGCATAGCGATTCGTATTCACGCGATGTAAAAACACATCGCGATTCGTATTCACATGATTTAAAAATCATACACCGCGGCTCGTCTTCTCACAAATTAAAAATCACACATGACTACGAAATTTAAAAACTACTCATCACGCCGTTTAAAAATCGCACATCGTGATTCTTATTCACTCTGTTTAATAATTACACATCGTGATTTGTATTCACGCTATTAAAACATGAAGACAAAGTTAACTGAGCTGACTCAGGCTGAAAATAGTTTAATCGGAGAAGAAAATGGTACTCATTATTTGCTAGGAAAGGATATTGAAAGCGAAAAGGCATAAAAGTTGCTCAAGTGATAGTTTATGCTGTGAATGAAAATATAATTACTGCCTCCCAAAACCTTGCAACTATTCGCCATTTAAAATAATATTAGTCATCGTAAAATTTGAAAGAAAAAAAATGTTATTTATCCAAGTTTCCATGTTCTAATTTTATTTTTTAAAGTAATGAATGTATTTAGAAAGAAAATTTTTCTCGTATTTCACTCCCGTCAAACTCACGAGGTGAATTTTCGTCTCCTATTTCTCGTGCCCGTGAAATTTCCGGGGTTGAGTGTTCAAAAGTAATGCATCAAAAAGTTTGTGCCTGGAACTTTTCTTTACTTCTTATTTAGCACACTAGATGGTTGTACCAGGCTATATTTAAAATTATTAATATTTAAAACTCTACGGACAAATTTTCAAACGTACGTCGCCTCAGCATATAAATCATGGAATGCCGAAGAGTCACGTGGGACAAGTAGATACTACATTCTGCCAACCAAACATGCTTGGCTTTTAGTTCGCGTAGGCTCTTCACAATCTTAAAAACAACTCCACATAAAAGAATACGTGATCAAATAACACGACTTTCACTATAAATGAAAACGTGTTTTCGAAATTCTACAACACCAGCACGGCGCGAGTTTAAATGGGTGTAAACGATTTTATTCAGGGTTTAAAAAACTCTGAGTAAAATCGACGATATAAAGTGTGAGAATTGCAAAAACGAATTATAAGTTTTACTTTCGTGTCACAGCGACTTCTACTTCCTTGTCTCTTATTTGAGGGACGTTAAAATGTTTAAAATGAAGCAACAACAAAAAAATTTAAAGTTTTTTCCGTTCTCTTTGCGTCACTTATATTATCACTTATATTGCGTTCATTAGTATATATGTATTGTTTCAAAAAGATCCAATACCTCTAGAAATACAGTTTTGATCAAAAATCTGAAAATGCACGTATGGCATATTTCCAAAAGAGGCTACGAAAATTATCAAACTTAGCGGCCCAAAAATCTTCCGAAAAACATTGTTTTAAAAACCCAACTTGGTTGTTAGTGGGGCTAAAGCAACACCCTCTGGCTAAAGACGCATAGAATTTTCTTTCGCGGAAAGTTTCTTGCGAGTTTTATTTATTTAATCTGATCTTATGTCGTTACTTCTTGAAAATAAATCTCTTAAGTTACAAACGGTTGGAGACCCCCGCTGCAAATGTTAACTGAAGTGCAAATTGCTTTTTTTTTTAATTCATTCTTTTTTAAAAAGGATGAACTGAATCTTCCTCTGGTGTGTTTTGCAGCTAGTCTCTTCTCGAGGATCACGTGGGTACAGACGAACATCGAGGAGAATGGAAACTCCCTTCGCCGAGAGTTCAACAGCTTCCTGCAGAGACTCCTCAGCAACATCAGTGAGAGACGAGACCAGGAAGAGCTTAGCATCCTCAACCAACAACACTAAAAACATATAACAATTTGTTGCTTTGTAAATAGGAATCCTTGTTTTGAATTGCATTTTGAAACTCACAAATACGATTTTTTTCTTCTTGAAAATCGAGTATAAAATAAAATTTCCAACTGAAGTCTTTGAGTCCCATTTATTCAACGCAAGTGGTGTACTTTTATTTTTAAAAATTACCTTATGAAATAATTTTTTCTGTCATGGAACAACTCAATGAATGCACCGTGTCCGAAAATAACTGGTAAAAATGTGTCATAAAATCTAATGCACGTTGATACTGATATGCGTACTACCCGGACAGGAGTATTGAGTTTAAGAAACATTTTATGGTCGGTTGTATGAATAGAACTCAATCAGGGTTCTCATGATCATTTATAAAAGTGATCAGATCTAGATATTTTAAGCTGTCAATAAATTTTCAATTTAAAGAAAATACATATGGGTGCAAAAAAGAAAGAAAAAACATGACGGGAATAATTTTGTAATTCGTAAATGAAAACTATCTTTAAATTCTTAAATGAAAACTATTCTTAAATGAAAACTATCTCTAAATTCTTAAATGAAAACTATCCAATCCAGTACCTCTTGGGGTACTGGATTTGAGATAGATCGTTCTCTGATTCAGGTCAAAATTACGATCTGTGGATGTATGAATGGATCCGCCCTATAAACGGGGGTGGCGTATGACTGTGGCAGAAGTCGAATTTTTAGCTAAGAGCGATGAAAAATTAGATCATTGTGGTATTCCATCAATCTGAATAAAAATATCTTTTCCATTGTAAAGATAATTATTAAAAATATAAAAATTAATTAGAATTTCCCAATAATCAAAATCGCAATTAAGGATATTTTTAAAATCATAGTATTAACTCAAAAGAGCATCTTTTAGTTTAGTAAGTGGAATGCTATTGAAGAGATCTTAGAAATTAAAAGCAGCAATAGAATTAATTTTATTTTGCGCAATAAATTCCAAAAATTGGTTGATTATTGGTGATAATCCAAGAAAGATCTTCTTTAATAATTAGACCCCCACGTGATTGTTCTAAATTTTATAGGAATTTTATGAAATTATGGAACTGATAATTAAGTAAGGAAATCGTATATTGCTAATATCAATTTTTAACCTCTTATATAAAGCTAAAAATTTTTTAATGATAATATTATTACAAAACATGGAAAAAATTACAGAACAATGAAAAAAGGAAAAATAATAATAATAAAAAAATACTTGTATTAATATTAAATGTTTATCATAAATGGTTGTTAGAAAAGTTTTTCCTTCATTCACCCCCTTCAATGAGGGGAACTTATCAGAAGTCTTCATTTTCCCATCTTTATCATGTGACTATGACATGATTAGGACTATTGCAACATATTTATTAATTCGTATTATGAAAACCGATGCACATATTTTTCAGCGGATTTTTCTAATATTCGAGTACTANTTTTCAGCGGATTTTTTTTTTTTTTGGAACTCCAACTCAGTGAAATGACTTATTAAATATTATCTTGTGCTGCCTACCTGAAACCACCCAACCTTTGTCAGCAAAATTTGTATAAATACTGCTCAAAGTTATTGGGGGTTAAATCAGTATACACACTGAAATTTTTATTTCTATTGACAACAGAGCCAATGCAGATTTCTACTAAATGGTTTGTTACAATGTACTTGTGAATAAGTGGTTGTAAGCTACCACCCAGATTGTACTTGAAAGAATGTTTTTGTACTTCTGTTAAGTTATGCTTCCGACTTTAGTGTCTTAATACCAGCTTCTGGTGCAAGCCACGTTTGATGGGTATCTTTCACTTCACCACAGTAGGTCGAAATCTTAATGCTGTCTATTGAATGTTATTCCTCTCCATGTGATCCATTTTTGGTGTCCTGCACGATCGCGAGTTTGTCCCCGTGTTCCACATCTATTTTAAGAAAGGAGATGAATGATTATTGACTATGTAAATGTGAGTTTATTAATTACAAAAATATGCTACAATTCTTCGCTCTTTTCCTCGTTATCTGGACTAATCGGAAGGGAAGGAAATCTCTTGCAGACAATATTCTCTGAGGAACCATTTCTTAAGAGATCATATACAGAGGGGGGTAAGGGGGAATCCATCACCTGGAACATGTAGAGGAGGATGCTCTGCAGGGAGACAAGCTGCAGCTTCAATTTCCGACTCTCCTCTTGAAGCCTGCAACAAAAGAGTTGGAATAATTGAGTTTGACATTTAGTATGTACACAATGCATCATACAAACTATTAAATAGTAATTCGAACATATTTTGTTTCAATATTTTGATAGGAATTGGTAATATTTTATCTATTTAATATTTCAATAGGACTTTAATAAACTTTTATCTTTCTCCTTTTAAACTCTTTAATGCATTCTTCCGAACCTTTAGAATACAGTTGCCGATGAAAATGACCTAAACCGAGAGGCTGAAAAACTAATAATTGCATCGTTAATAATATATCAGATAAAATGTCCTGTTAGTAACAGAAAATTGTCTTAAAAATTTCACTAAACACTGGACAAAAATAAACAAACAAGTTTTCGAACTTTTGTATTACTTGATGACGAGTTAAATCAGTTCACATTGTTTTCTTTTTAATTTTAGACGTTTATTTTTATTTTAGATTTATTATTTGGGTCGGTATTCGTCTTTCAATTTTGTGCACGATTTTGAAATGTGGTTCAGTACTGAAATATTGATCCTTTTTTTTTTACCCCGTACGAAGAACGGGTATTCAGCTACCATATATATATAGATCGATATTTTTGTTTATTTTATTATTCTAACTTTAAGTATTTTCCTTTCTTTCGAAAATAAAACTTTGCATAGAATGTGTCTTTGAGATCATTATAATACATTATTCAAACATTTTATTCCCTCTTACACATAATTTGGAAATTGTGATTGAAATAAGTATAAGAAGTGTGCTATTGATAGAATTAAAACTAATTTTATAATAAAGCTTAAAGTATATGAACATTACACTAAAAAATTTAGCGTAGAAGAAAATATAAAAGCTAATAGTTCTTGGCACTCGCCATTATGAATATTGTGTTAAGTTTTTGGTTTGCGATTCCTTGATATATTTTTTCGTCAAGAAAGATATCTTTAAACTTGATACTGAACTAACTATTGATTATAAATTACTTTTTCACAGCAAAATACCTTCCAAAAAAGTGGAAACTCGCTTTATGGATAAGGAGAAATAGTACTTGATATTTTTTTAAAAGCTTCCTTGGATTCTTCCTTAAAAATTTGAGGCAATAAAGTTGTGAGTTTTGAGTAAGCAATTTAAAACTGCACATAAAAAGTCCTTAGTGGTTTTTGAAATGCAATTTTGTTACAGTATAAAGTAAAGAAAACCAAAAAGCAGTTTGGTTGATTGTATTGGCACAATTTTATCAGAAAAAATTATTGTATCAAAGCAACCGAATAAACCGTCACCAAAAGTTTATTTGTAAAAATAAATCAAAGATATTTTTCTCCTCCTTCTTTATCTGTTTGGCAATTGAGTTTGGTTGGATAGAGAAAGACCCCTTAAGATCGGTGTAAGTACCATTAAAAATAGCTCTTTATTGATTAAAAAAAATATTTAATTAAAAGTGTTAAAGTAAAAGTAATTAAGCAGTTCCAAATAGTTTATTTTTAGCCCTTATGAGAACTCAACAGTTCATGTATTTTAATGCTCAGCGTTATTAAAATAAAAATTCGATCAAATTTTTATTTTAATGCTCAGCGTTATTAAAATAAAAATTCGATCAAATTTTTTAAAGGAACAACATAAAAATTTTTAGCAGCAGTTTTCTTTTCTATATATTTCTGAAAAAAAAAAACTATAAGCTGGAGTTTGAATCGAAATTGCCCCCTTCATGGAGGCGACGACTTACTTGAAATTGTTCTCTTTTAGTTTGGCGTTCTCCATCATTTTTTGGTTGAGACGAGTGACTACAGTGGCCAGTTCCTGCCTGAGATTGGAAGTTTCTTTACCACCTCCACTATTCTTCATCATCTGGTAAAGGGAAAGAGGTCGTAGGTATACCACCCGACACACACCCCTGCTGCTCGACATCAGCATCTTACAGACCTCACTGGAATTCTTTCCAATCACTATGTGACCGTTCACTTCCACCAACCTGCAAAACGAACAAAACAATCTTTCATTTTAAACCATTCAAAAAAAATTTCTGCAAGGTATAATAGCCTAATTAGTGTCTTCTCGTACAGTAACTACTAAAAATAATTTGACAATTGAAGACAAGAGACGTATTTGGAAGAAAAGAATTTCTTTCTGATATAAAGATTTTAGTTTTATCTATTGGCCGGGATAGCCTAGTCGGTAGGGCGCTGGGCCTATGTCCGAGAGTTCGTTGGTTCAAATTTCGCCGGCCGAAGACTCCCAGTGTAGTAAATGGTGACTGATGCACGTTAAATCTATCGAGTCGCAAAGTCCTCCATGTTCCCTTAACAAATCAAGTTCCTCTAGGGGTACTGAATTGGAGATTGATCGTTCTCTGATTCGGGTCAAAATTACGATCTGTGGATGAATGAACGGATATATGAATGAGTCCACCCTATAAACGGGTGTGACGTATGGATGTGTCAGAAGTCGAATTATTAGCTATAGATTGCGCCACTCGAAAGCAAGAACAATCGCACCTCTCTGCCTTAACAGGTATACGACGAGAGAGAGAGAGAGTTGTTTCTATTCATTTATTCTGACAAGTCTTGAATTCACAGATTTCAATAGATCAATATTTTATTTGACAGAGTGAAGGAAGGTACTAAAATGCATTTCAAAAGAGAAAAAATATTTTTCTTACATTCGAATTTTTTTTCTACGAATTTTAAATTTTTTTCTGTTATTCTCGCATAGCAAAAAAAAAAAAAAAAAAAAAAAAAAAAAAAAAAAAAAAAAANTGCGAATTCGTCAACAGTATGGATATTTATTCAAAAAATGCATGTTTTTGTTTCCTTATTAGTGGTCAAGACCAATACTGTGTGCATCAAATTAACGGTAGTAAATGTAGTAATATCAAGTAAATTCCTGCTCATTACGTCAAAAATTATTCAGATATTTTGATTTTTATTTCGTCAATAATTCCACTAAACGTTTTTTTTTAATTTAAAAAGTGAATAATTTTAATTTTAAGTGAATTTCAAGTATACCAGAAAATCAGTAATAGTGTGAAATGTGTCTACCAAATAATGCTTTATACTTTTGAATTTATTATTTTAACTGCATTGACTGGACATTATATACGAAGATTATAATAAAAATAAGCATAATTTATTGACTGTTTAATAAATTCAAAACTGCTAATAAATTGTATACTGTTTTGTTTTCGCAAAAAGTTGTGTAAAAATGTGAAGAATAGGACAATAAAAGAACACCGCTTTTACTTTTAAGCTTTTCATTTGGAGCAATAATAATAATAAAAAAACTTATTCTAAGAAACTTTATTCTTTTCTTAAATTTTATTCTAAGAAAAGCTGTTAAATTAACACTACAAAAAATATTGTTCCCTAAGGGAATAATTATTTTCGTAATGTACAATTAAAAAATTTGATACATATTTTGTTAACTTTATGCTTACAGGAAAAAAAAATCTGGGACGTTTTTGTTAAATAAAAGACCATGCGATTTGCTGACCAATAAGAATGCGCCAACTTGACCAATATTTTTTATGTTTCTATAGAGATATCTAGTAATATTCGAAGTGATAATTCAAAAGTTCCAATGTCTATCTAAAGAAATTTCTATCTTTTTTTGAAGTCATTATAAGGTGTATGTTTTAGAATTAAGTGATTGCCTGTCTTTTATACTTGTTTCAGTCTCCTCCACTTAAATTGTTTTACTGCTGATAAATATGTCACTGTTTTCAAGTCGAAAAGCATCGACGTATGTTTTCAAAGGAAATATCATCCCGTAAGTCTGTTTATTACCTGTCTCCATTTTGGAGTTCCGTGTCCTGATGAGCCCACTCTACTTTAGGAATGGGTGCTCCGTCACTCTGGCACGAGACGAGGAGGGACTTCTCTAGGTGAACGTGTTCACTGGCATGGAGTGCGGGCACGGCTCCTCTCTCTTTTAAATAGGTGATGTAATCGTGCAAAGGCTCCCACATCTCTTCCATCTGCAAAGAAAGTACGTCTTCCTACATAAAACGGTTGATAAAGCTTGGAAAAATCTAAAAGGTTAAACACATTACGTCGGTAAGTTTTTAAATCAATAGACAGCTTGGAGATGCGTTTTTACGAAAATGGACACCGATCTTTTTCAATTTTCATCTAGAATTTAACCACTAAAAGAGCTTACCTTTCCTTACTTATTTTAACACTAATCGAAATCATCATGGGGACAAAATACCGGATTTCGGGGTTGGGGTGGCTAGGTATATAACAGATGTTGCTTTTTACGCAATATCCTCTAGATGATAATGTTGAGTTTTATAACTCTAAATTCCTACAAGTTTAATGTGAACTCCATTTTTATCAAATCTATAGAACCCGTGGTAACTTTGTAAAAATAACCGTTGACTTTTAAAGTCATTGAAAGAAAGAGATAAATTTAATGAAATGTACCAAGTGCGTATAGACTATACCACATTACGAATTTATTTCTCAGACGATACGACTTAAGCCGCATCGTAACGTATACAAAAAAGAAAAAAAATATACGACTTTTTTTAAAATTCGATTTCTTGGGAACTATTTGACTGATTTCATTCAAAATCTGTATTTTTTCACGTAAAATTACATTCTATAAAATGATGTAAAAATTCTATACCTTACAATTCCAAATTTTTTCGACTAGTATTGAATAAAATGCAAAAAAAAAAAAAAAAAAAAAAAAAAANACTTCGATTCATTTTCCGAATGTTTTCACAATTTCGGAGAAGACTGAGAAAATTTTGTTTTTCCAAAACTACATCTTATTTTAAGTCGTATTATCTAGATTAATAACTGAAGAAATTTTTAAATAAGATTTACATCTGTTAATAGGGAATTTGAAAGCGGAAAAATAAGTAGGAATTTTAGGAGGAACGGTTTTTAAAAAGGACTGTCTTGAAGAATCTTAATTTATACTATCTAACCGAGTTTATTCGTGAAAATTAAGATAGCTATTTGCTGTTTTCTTTTCGTTTTTACACAAATAGAGAACTGCAGAGCGTTTTTAATCCATGCATATAAAACTGAACATTTGGCTGTCTCCTAAATTTTTATTTCGATTGTGGAGAACTGAAACACTAAGAATGTTTAAAGCACGATAGCTTAATGACACAGTTAATGATAATAAAAGATTATACTCCGAATATTTCAATCGGTATGCGTAAAAAATGATTTTCTCCCAGGAATAACGCTAAACATTAATTCTGTTCATTTAAAAGATGATTTCTGTAACTTGGATAGCTTAATACTCTAATTAATCAAAAAGAGTTTGTCTTAAAGTTAATTACATGTTCTTAAAAATTCTTTTCCGTTGTCTCCTTAGGTCGGATAAATACAAGTAAAAACTTGTACAGAATTTTCATTGTATTGTATCAATAAAATCCCCTAATTAGAATTTTTAAAACCGCTTTCTTATATTGTTTAAGGCTGCGCTTATGAAACGTTCTTCTTCAAACGTAAATAATCTAATTTAATCAAAGGTTAAAAATGAAATGCTGTGCATTGAGAACCACTAACTAAGTGGATCTGGTATAATATTGATTATCACAAGTTAGTAGTGACCAACTGCATGACAAATAAGACTGTACTCTCTGCAAAAAGTTTTAGTGAATCTTAACACCAGAAATGGGGGCAACTACTTGACACTACAGATAACTTTCGGCTTTGGTGTTTCACTACACTAAGAGCCATATAAAGTTCCTAGTGTATTGAAACACCAAGAATGTTTTTTACACTATTTGACACAAAGTAGTTGTCGAAATTTTTATTATTCGATGACGTTAAAATTTATAATTACAGTAAGATATAAAAAATATATCCTACTGTAATTATATACATAATATACACATAAGTTATTTTTACGATACAGCATAAAGTAAGAATTATTAATTTAGGATGCATATGTACTCTAATTTTAAAAATAAAATTAGTTTGATAATTAAACATACATTCAGCACACGAATGAAGAATATTTAGATGAATTCACTCTAAGATTAATAGAATGGAAGCGATTTCATATTAAATATTATAAAATTATTTAAAGCAATTGACATATTATTTAAAAATTACATAATTATCCTTATCATACAGCTAAAAACATACATGCATTTTCAAATGGTGAACTCCTGTTTATGTAGATGTTAAGCAACGTGGAAAAGAACAACAAATTCACATCATCTTGTTCTCGATTGTAAATAATCTATTGGCGGTATCTGAAGCATGCCAACATTGATGTTTTTGGAAGAAAAAATGATTCACGAATGATGTGAAGGTGCGGAGTTTGGTTTACGATTTATTTCATTATTGGTGCTTATTGGTGGTGATTACTTTCTTTAAAGTATATATGAACGTTTAATTTGGAGTTAACTTAAAATAAAGTGTTCTTTAACGCAATCCTTTGGATCGTTTAACAACAAATTTAAAGAGATACTGAGCCACAGTTTTTACAGTTTATATTTAATCTTTGTCTCTCTGAGAAAAAAAGTATGGTTAAGACTATAAGAATATGGTAATATTTACAGTTTTTCTGACTCTAAGGGAACACCAAAGAGATCGGTAATTTTTACCAAGGAGCTTTAGCAATTATTTTTGTAAAGTTAACAATGAAATATAATTTATAATATGTGATAAAATTTAATAAAAGTGGTAAAAGTTGGCTATTTTATCATGATATATAAGAGCACGGCATAAAAACTATCCATACGGTTAAATTTTCCTTTCATTTTTGTATTTTTTATTAAATGCGTGGTAACAAAAATTATGATTTTGAAAGAGGCCGGGATAGCCTGGTCGGAAGGGCACTGGGCCCATGTCCGAGAGTTCATGAGTTCGAACTCCTCCGACTCCCCTGGTAGTAAATGGTTACTGATGCACGTTAAATCTGTCGATTCGCAAAGTCCTCCATGTTCCCATAACAAATCAATACCTCTGGGGGTACTGAATTGGAGATTGATCGTTCTCTGATTCAGGTCAAAATTACGATCTGCGGATGAATGAATGGATGTATGAATGAGTCCATCCTATAAACGGGTGTGACGTATGGGTGAGTCAGAAGTCAAATTCTTTGCCATAGATGGCGCCACTGGAAAACAAGAAACAATGGCACCCCTCTGCCTCAACAGACATACGGACGAGAGAGAGAGAGTTTTATCTATTCATTTATTTTGACAAGTCTTAAATTTCACAGATTTATTAGATGAAAGTTATATTTGACAGAGTGAAAGAAGGTACTAATAAATGCATTTCGAAAAAGAAAAGATATTTTTCTTACACTCGAATTTTTTTTCTACGAGTTTCAAATTTTTTTTAATTCTCGCATAGCAAAAAAATGTGAATTCGTCAACAGTATGGCTATCTATTAAAAAAAAAGCATGTTTTTGCTTCCTTATTAGTGGCCAAGACTAATACTGTGTGACACATCAAATTAGCGGTAATAAATGTAGTACATCAAATCATTACATCAAAAATTATTCAGACCTTTTGATTTTTATTTCGTGAAATATTCCACAAAACAACTTTTTTTTTTCAAATTCAAAAAGTGAATAATTTTAATGTTAAGTGAATTTCATGTATTACAAGTAATACCAGAAAATCAGTATTAAGTAATAGTGTGAAATGTTTCTATTAATAATGCTTTATACTTTAGAATTTATTATTTTAACTGCATTAATTGGACATTTTATACGAAGATTATAATAAAAATAAATATAATTTAGTGACTGTTTAATAAATGCAGAACTGTACATAAATTGTATACTGTTTTGTTTTCATAAAAAGTTGGGTAAAAATGTAAAAAATAAGACCAAGAAGAAAAAAAAATAAAGAACGCCGCTTTTAGTTTTAAGCTTTTCATTTGAAACAATAATAGTGAAAAAAAACTTAGTTTTATTTTAAGAAAAGATGATATATAAACACTACAAAAAATATTGTTCAATAAAGGGATACATATTTTCATAATATACAATTAAGAAATTTGATACACATTTTGCTTTTATTTGATACAACTTTATGCAAAAAGAAAAAAGAAAGAAAAAAACCTGGGACGTTTTTGTTAAATAAAAAACAATGCGATTTGCTGACCAATAAGAATGCGCTAACCTTGGACCATTATTTTTAATGTCTCTATAGAGATATCTAGAAAAATTCGAAGTGATAATTTAACTTAACGAAGTGATAATTTAAAAGTTCTGTTGTCTTTCTAAAGAAATTTCTATCAGTTTTTGAAGTCATCATAAGGTGTATGTTTTAGGATTAAGTGATTGGCTGTCTTTTATACGTGTTTTAATCCCCCCCCCACCACCATTTAAATTGTTTTACTGCTGATAAATATGTCACTGTTTTCAAATAGAAAACGCATCATCGTATTTTTTTAAAAGGAAATTTCAACTTGTAAATCTGTTTATTACCTGTCTCCATTCTGGAGTTCCGTGTCTTGGTGAGCCCACTCTACTTTAGGAATGGGTGCTCCGTCACTCTGGCACGAGACGAGGAGGGATTTCTCGAGGTGAACGTGTTCACTGGCATGGAGTGCGGGCACGGCTCCTCTCTCTTTTAAATAGGTGATGTAATCGTGCAGCGGCTCCCACATCTCTTCCATCTGCAAAGAAAGTCCACCTACATAAAACGGCTGATAAAGCTTTCAAAAAATCTAGAAGGTTAAGCACATTATGTCGGTGAATTTTTAAATCAATAGACAGTTTGGAGATGCGTGTTTACGAAAATGGACACTGTGCTTTTTCAATTTTCAACTAAAATTTAACCACTAAACATGCTTACTTTTCCTTACTTATTTTAACACTAATCAAAATCGTCACTGGGCAAAATGCTGGATTTCGGGGTCGGGGTGGCTAGTTATGTAACAGATGCTACTTTTCAGGCAATATCCTCTAGAAGACGATAATGTTGAGTTTTATAATTCTAAATTGTGGCGCAGTTGGTTTGTGGAGTCTAAGTCTGCGGGTTCGATCCCCTTATCACTTGAGTGCCTTATTGACTCTTGGCATTTCCGGCAAAATTAAATTCCTAGTGCTATTTGGATGCTTAAGTGCATCCAAATAGAGTCTCGGTGCTGCCATCTAGTGTGGCAGAAACTAGACGTCCAAATTAACACGGCCAACGGTATCTCACCCATTGTGGTGGTCCTGAAAGAGTGGATACCACTTCTGGAGAACTCACTAGGTCTGCTCATAGTGAAGACTGATTGTGCAGCTCATAGGAAATAAATAATAATAATTCTAAATTTCTAAATTCCTACAAGTTTAAGTTTAATGTGAACTCATTACCATTATTATAAAAATGTTAGTATCCGTGGTAACTTTGTAAGAATAACCGTTGACTTTTAAAGTCATTAAAAAAAGAGATAAATTTAATGAAATATACCAAGTGCGTACCACATTACGAATTTATTTCTCAGACGATACGACTTAAGTCACATCGTGACGCATACAAAAAAAAACGCATACGACTTTTTTTAAAATTCGACTGACTATTTGATTGATTTCATTCAAAATTTGCATTTTTTCACGTAAAATTACATTCTATAAAATGATGTAAAAAATTGTATACCTTAGAATCCAAAATTTTTTTCGACTAGTATTGAATAAAATTTTTTAAAAAAAAAACGCTAATATTTACTAACAGTTATTATTTGCATGAAATTATTTTTGGATAAACAAATTTTATAATTGTGTGCAAAAATGCTACAATTCGCTTAAGAAGTTCTCGAGTATTGGTGAAATACGCGAGAAGTAAAATTAACATTAAGGGGTTCAAACTTTGAACGGCTCTCTTGACCAAACTATGGAGACCACATTTCCCAAATTACGGTTATCCCCTATATTTTGATGGTCAGAAATCCGAATCCGTCGGAAAAAAGGTATGTTTATTTAGAAAAAGTACGTTTTTATGTCTGATTTTGTAACTTAAACTATTGTCTACACTAACTAATTAGCATATTTCAGGTTACCCCCTTGAACCATTAAGATTGAGTTCTAGAACGTGAAGATCCGATCATTAGATCAAAAGTTATTCAGGGTGGTGTGTTGTTCTTTTTTGCACACTGCACATTGTTCACTTTCGACTATTAAAGACTTTTTCACGTTTTGTAAATGGAGACAGCTGCACGTTAAATATGTCGAGTCACAAAGTCATCCATGTTCCCATAGCAAATCATACCTCTCGGGATACTGATCCAGGAGTTTCCTTGTCTTCTGGATTGGTTCAAAATTACATGGCTATGAAGTTGAACATTAGTAGTCGTAAGCCCGAAACTGGATCGGCTGTTCAACGACAGTTATAATAATTATAATACTTGCAATTTATAATAAAATATCTATTTTCCTTCAGATGAACTTTCAAAATAATTATTTTCTATTCACTTAAAGATCAATTAAATGAGTTCCCTACTCCTCTGTTTATGAATTTTTACAAGATTTATTGATATAATTGAAGTCAAACGCGCAGAGAATATTTTTAAATTTGTATGTTTTCTATTTTTTAGAGCAGTTAATTTTTTGTATTTCTTTTATTTCTCATTGTATTTACCTTTCTCTACAAGGAAAATGCAATTATTTAACTGTAAAAGGTGAACAACATATTTAAATTCTACAAAGTTACCGAAAAAAAAAAGATATTGAATATTTGCTTTAAAAAGTCTGTATGAGTGAGTAAAATTTAATTTTTATACATTCTTCTTACACGCTTGTATTCGTTCATCATAATATTTTAACAGGGTAAAAAAAATTGCTGTCAGAAATGACTTTTGCATTTAAAATTTCTAAAAATATTAACATCGACTTTTAACCATCCTGATCATGAAAAAAAAAATTAACGTATCTTATTATTTAAGTAGAAAAAACCACCGCAATTTTTTTCTCACTTTGTGATTACGTTGGTCTATGGCTATTAAAAAGTAGTTCTAAACTCCCTAAATATATTTTTAATAACTTCTTTCTTGGTCAGTTGTTTCTACGAACTGAACGCCGGTTATCAGTATTATCAGTACCAACACAAATAAAATTCTCTGACGCAGAAATATTTTTGAATTTTGATTTTATTTTTCTACTAAACCTTTTCACAGTTCTCTCTACAAGAACAATGCGAGCTGTCAAGTATGCGATCAACAATTTTGAATTTAACTATTTTTTAAAAAAAATCAGAAATTGAAATACTTTTTAAAAAAAATCTATTTGAGCAAGTTAAATATTTTTTAGTTTTCTCTACTTCAACATTTGAATTTGTTAAAGATAATATTTTAATACAATAAAATACTTTTTCGTCAGAAATTATTTGCTTTCAAAATTTACAAAAATATTGTTGACGTCAGTTTTCCACGTAGTACATGATGAAATATAAGTTCAGTCTGTTATTTAAGTAGAAAAAAAAATTCAACACTTTTTCTTTGTGATTACATTGTGCTATTAACAACAAAAAGCAATTATGATCTAAAAAAAGTTTTTTGTTCTTATATTTAGTCAGTTTTTTTCTTATTTAGACCAACCACTGTTGTAGAATGCTTTGAAGAATTTTTTTAACAACTTTTTAATTTACGAGACGAAGTGTGCGAAAGATAATTTTCGCTCTTGATTAAGATTATTAAGAGGGAAATGAAAGACAAATTTTAATCATATTCTATTTTAGGGCACGATATTTCAGTTTTGAAATAACTAGTCAGACACTCATTCTGGCTAGCACTGATACTGATAAGCTGACTAGTTATTCTGGCTAATAGTGTACTGGCAAACAATAAAAAAAAAATTTCGATACTATTTTCCACGAAAAATGTGAACTATTTTTAAAACTTTAACAGATGTAGTTTAAGAAACTTTTGATGGCCAAATCCATAAAAGAACGTGGAAACTGAAGAACAGCACAAAATGTCATCATCTGGAACAAATATTTTAAAACTTTCGAACACTTTTCACTGAGTCCATGTTAATGATGAGAACAAAAACTTGAGATTCTTCCTACTCTCATAACACATTATCCACTTGATCATTAAAAGAGATTTAGGTTTATTGCAAGAAGATATACCAAATTCTATCATTTTTTTAAAAATTATTTTTCTTCAGGCGGCTAACCTAAGGCATGCAGAGACATCTGATGGCATAGACTTCAGTTATGATGCATTCTCACTTTAAATGTTCTGAAATTCTATCCCACCACTTTTAATATTTGTCCACTCAGAGAAAATAGGGTAAATTTGAAGGGATTTAACTAAATCAACCTTCATCGATTAAAAGGTACTTCCAGGTAGAATCGAGTTAACAAGTATAAGTGAATTGGTACTTAATATTTATATTTATGGTGGTAGTTACGCCGCATTACTCACATTCCAGAATTTTATCTGTGATCGAATTCGATGAACGAATATCACTAGTTGATTTCTGCTGTTTTTTCTTTATTTATATCATTTTTACTCATTATATTTTTTCTTCATTTTTGCTTATTTATATAATTTCCCTCATTATTATTTTTTTAGCTTTATATTTTAAGCAAAACAACTGCTTAATGTGTACCATTCTTCGATGTTAGCAAATCATGCCCTCAATTTACTATAAAAGGAATTAAATTTTTGACTATGTCAACCTACATCGATCAAAAGGTACCTCAATCTAGAATCGAGTTAACAAGTCTTATATACTAGTGAATTCGTATTTAATATTTATAGTGGTAGTTAAGCCACAATTTCACTCGTCAATCCTAAATATTTTATTAAGAGTTAAAATTTCGCTCTGTAATTTTAGGATGCAATGGAATAGGAAGTACTAACCCGCAGGGGTGGAGGTACATCCCACAGTGCAGCTGATTCCCAGTGCTGCTCCTGATACGACAGCAGCGCCATCTCTTCCTTAACCAGACGGTATTCCATCTCAGCTATCACTATTTGGTCGTCCACAGAATTCCTATAAAAGTATTTTCATCCAAAGTTAAGTCGAAGGAGTGTAAAATTGAAATAAATTAGTTTCTTGTGAACAATTTCGAAAGAAATATTTCATTCATTCATTCAATTTCTTTTTCTGAATAAATATTTTGGACGATNTTAGTTTAAGCAGGACTGTCGATTTTTTTTGCTAGATATTTATTGCTAGCTTGTTTTTTACGATTATTAATTGTTTTTTAGTATTAATTTTTTTATTAATAATTGTTTAATATTTTGTTTGTTTTTTGTGAATTTTAATTTAATTGTTACATATGCTTCATAGCGTAATAACAATTCATAGTGTAACAACAATTGTGATCTGTGGAGTGCCCAAAATATTGTGTCGCGTGCCATTGGTTCGCCATCCCTGTACCTGTAGTAACCTCGGTAGTAGCCCTGAATTGGTATTTAATATTTATATTTATAGCGGTAGTTACGCCGCATTACTCCCCTTCCAGAATTTTATCAGTGGTCAATCTTTATACATCAAAAGGTACCTCAAGACAGAACCGAATTAACAAGTTTTATATACTAGGGAATTGGTATTTAATATTTATAGTGGTAGTTACGCCATAATTTCACTCGTCAATCCTGAACATTTTATTACGAGTTGAAATTTCGCTCTGTACGGTTAAGATACAATGGAATAGAAGTACTAACCATAGAGTTGGTACTAACCCGCAGGGGTGGAGGTACATCCCACAGTGCAGCTGATTCCCAGTGCTGCTCCTGATACGACAGCAGCGCCATCTCTTCCTTAACCAGACGGTATTCCATCTCAGCTATCACTATTTGGTCGTCCACAGAATTCCTATAAAAGTATTTTCATCCAAAGTTAAGTCGAAAGAGTGTAAAATTGAAATAAATTAGTTTCTTGTGAACAATTTGGAAAGAAATATTTTATCCATTCATTCAATTTCTTTTTCTGAATAAATATTTTGGACGATCCGCTTTAAGATCAACACTTAATTAAAAAGTGAATTGAAACCATAATCATCAGATCATAAGTTCAAAAAGAGAGTTACCCGGTTGTTTTCTTCTTTTTCTCGAGATCATTGCGTAGTTTAGAGACAATCTCTATCTTTTCTGAAATCTTTCTGGAGAGCTGCTTCATTCTACCTTGATTAACTTCCATCTCATCCATTCCTTTTCTTTTTCTTACCTGGGGAGAATAATTTTTATGAGATAAAAAACAATTGAATCGAAACAAATGGCAATCATTCACTTAACTGCACGTTAATAGGGAAGCCTTCTTATTTCTGTTAGAGGGACTAAAACACTTATAAACATTATTAAATTTCCGAAAAATATTTTTAAAAAAATTTTATTACGTAAAGGAAATTTCAAATTTTTATCTATGACGCATTTTTCTCAGAATATTTATAGAGCACATGTGTTTTTTTTTTCTTCTTAAATTTTTGTCTGTTTTTCTTATCTTCTTTATTTTATTTTTGTCATATTTTCTACCTTAATTTCGGGAGAAAAAAGACATCGAAATTTATATATTTTATTTTTAATGTGCATAGTAGTTAAATTTGAAAAATACTCTGTTAACATTCAGATCGCAATTAATATTCTTTTTTTTTTCATTTTTCATAATAATTTTTCCTCTCTCTACATATTTAATTATATTTTTATTTTTTTAATCAATGAAAAACGGTCTGCATTGCCACATATTTTTTGTTGAAAATAATCAGTAATGCATTTATTAAATTTACAAAAAGTCCTCTCCATCGAATTATTATTTTTTAAAATTTTCATCTCATCCCCATTTTTTTTAAGTAATCGAATATTAAGTTCGCTGTTATTTTATTTATTTACTGAGTAGCACCGCCCTGGTTCATTGGTTAAAGGCACTGGGCTGTCATTTTGAGGAACTCAGGTTCGTTCCCTGGTGGCGTTCCCTCCACATTGCCACCATCATGTCATTGGTAACGAAATTGTGCAGATTTAACCTCCGTGACACCCTTGGTTCACATGTGGGAATGTTTTACCAGCCGAATAACCGCTCTTCTTACGGGGTAAAAAAATGGTAAATAATCAATAAACCGGTATTGATCAACTCTGCGAAATCTGCAAAATTTGAAGCCATATACCGTCACAATTAATTAAGCTATAAAAATTGCCATATTTATTTATCTTGTATTATTCTTTATTACCGTTTCCAATAGATTTACGATATTAGGTTGAGCGAAACATGTTTTTAGAATTCCATTTCATCAATATCAACAATATTCATTATTATTTGACATAATGCTTATTGCCCGAGCTGATAGTCAAACATTATACAGCAATTTTCTTTGGCACTTATAATTCTCGGTGGGCCTTAAAAACCTATTTCCATAGTATCAACAGTAGGTTTCCAATATTTATACATATCTATTAAATATACCATTTAACATTATACCAATAGTGATTATTACCAAAATTATCTTTAAGCATCATGGGCGTCAGCAATATTATGGTGGTTTTTTTTATGAAGGTACGAATAAGTACATTTTCTCCATTAATTTAGATTTAGAATACTTTTTTATTTCAATTTGTACCAATTACCAAGATTAATTGTAATTCTAGAAAATAATTAGTAACAACACTATTATTATAATCATTTTTCGCTTAGGTACTTCTTTCGAAGGCCGTGATGCTTAATGTAGTATTAAATACTACTGGCATTTAATATTTAATACCAATATCACAGTATCTATATGTGTTTATATAAATACAAGCACTTTGGTGGTACATTTTTTACTGCATTCAGAAACGAATGAGTACCCTAATATCATCATACTATACACATTCATACGTAACCTTTACTTTTTAATGTTTGCTGTATATTCTTCTACAATTAAATTTAACGTAATATGAGTTAGAACTCACTAAACGATAGATTAATATAGTATCATTTAATCTGTCATATTTAGAATTTACCACTGTTTTCCTTCATTGATAAATTCAATTTCATTTTATCAGTTCTTGTTGAGTTTCCATTACTTGAGTTTATAAACTATCAATGTAAGAAACGCATGGTTTCATAAATCTATTAAAATACGAATTCGTTGACGTCTTCACGTTTATGAACGTTGATTTTACTTGTGTAAGTAATATATTTTTATTATAGGAAACTAATGATTCACAAAATCGCGCAATAAGATTTATTTTTTTGATTGATTAATATAGCTAGCTTCGAGCTAGAAAATAACTCATGTTGTAAAATATTTGTCAAATCGTATGTAAAATTCTTGGGAATGTAAATCCATCTCTTTTTTTTAACTCTTTCGAAGGTCGTTGTAAGTATACTTACCACCAATTTTTGAAGCCCATGGTGAACTTTCTTACCACTTTTAATTTAGGTTTCCATTTGTTAATAACTTCAGCTTTCTTGAAGTGCATTTGAATAAAATTAGTAGTTTAAGAAAACGTATAAAAGTATAAGTTTGTAGCATTTATAAAATTTATTTTATAAATAACAAAAAATCGAAGTCAATAAGTTCCTAATAGGCCGTGGTAAATATACTTACCACCAAAAAAAAATGGCATTAAAATTTTGATTTTTTCTTATAAGCTAAATGAGTTTTTTTCTACATCAATTACTATTCTTATATCAATTTCAATTTCAAAAATACATTAATTTACCTTTAGCAGAAATAAATGGCCCATTAAAGAGTTAAAATAGACATTTCGATCTACCATGTCATCGGACGTATATGCACGTATTCAGACGTTGGAAGAGGGGTTGAAGAATTAGAATATTTAAACCAATTGTACTGGGCATTCGGCTTGTATACTATTAAAGTTTATAAGTTGTAAAAGATAATTTTGAAAGGTGACCAAACTGGTAGGCGAAGGCAGCTTGTTAAATTATAAATTTTATTTGGAAATTAATATGGAAAGATGGGAGGAAAAGCGAGTCTTGAAAATATCTGAGTCTCTCCAGCGCTTATAGATGAGTTGGGGAAGTGGGGTGGACGTTTTTCTTCTGTGCTCCATTCTAAAAACGAAGTCTCTGAGAAACAATGCGAGGATCGTTTTCAATTGGAACAGTTGTTCGAGAGTCAGATCATTCATTTGAAGATCTTTTGGTTTCNTCTTTCTTAAGCAAAACATATACATCAAATTCATAAATTGATTTAAATCAATCTGAGTATGAAGTTTTGATAGAAATCCGACTTTCTGCGCCTTACAAGTAAATGAATTTCAAAAATACTATATCGCGATACATGGCTATATCGCGATGCAAAACTGACGATGCATCACGATATAAAATTTCTTATATCGCCCAGTCCTAACCAATAGTGATTATTACAAAAATTAACTTTAAGCATCATGGGGGTCAACGATATTATGGTGGTTTTTTATGAAGGTACGACTAAGTACATTTTCTCCATTAATTTAGATTTTATATACTTCTTTATTTCAATTTGTACCAATTACCAAGATTAATTGTAATTTTAGAAAATAATTAGTAACAGCATTAATATTTTCATAACTATTTTTGACGTAGGTATTTCTTTTGAAGGCCGTGATGCTTAACCAAAATGTAGTATTAAATACTACTGGTATTTAATACTAATATCACAGTACCTATATGTGTTTATATAAATACAAGTACTTAGGCAATACATTTTTTTACAGCATTCAGAAATGGATAAGTACCCTAATATCATCATACTATACACATTCATATGTAAACTTTACTTTTTAATATTTGTATACTCTTCATACTATTAGATTTAACGTAATATAATGAGTTAGAACTCACTAAAAGGTAGATTAATATAGTATCATATAATCTGTCATATTCAGAATTTACCACTCTTTTCCTTCATTGATAAATTCAACTTTATTTTATCAGTTTTTGTTGAGTTTCCATTATTTGAGTTTATAAACTATCAATGCAAGAAGCACGTGGTTTCCTATATCTATTAAAATACGAATTCGTTGACGTCTTCACGTTTATTAACGTTGATTTTACTTGTGTAAGTCATATATTTTTACTATAAGAAACTAATGATTCATAAAATCACGCAATAAGATTTATTTTTTGATTAATTAGAGCTTCGAGCTAAGAAATGACTCATGTTGTAAAATATTTGTCCAATCGTATGTAAAACTCTTGGGAATGTAAATCTCTTTTCTTTTTTTTTATAATTAGACAGTTCAATCCACCATGTCTTCGGACGTATATGCACGTATTCGGACGTTGGAAGAGGGGTTAAAGAATTAGAATATTTAAATCAATTGTACTGGACACATTCAGTTTGGATACTATTAAAGTTTATAAATTGTAAAAGATAATTTTGAAAGGTGACCAAACTGGTAGGCGAAGGCAGCTTGTTAAATTATACTATTAAAGTTTATAAATTGTAAAAGATAATTTTGAAAGGTGACCAAACTGGTAGGCGAAGGCAGCTTGTTAAATTATAAATTTTATTTGGAAATTAATATGGAAAGATGGGAGGAAAAGCGAGTCTTGAAAATATCTGAGTCTCTCCAGCGCTTATAGATGAGTTGGGGAAGTGGGGTGGACGTTTTTCTTCTGTGCTCCATTCTAAAAACGAAGTCTCTGAGAAACAATGCGAGGATCGTTTTCAATTGGAACAGTTGTTCGAGAGTCAGATCATTCATTTGAAGATCTTTTGGTTTCCATTGAAAGATCACACTCTTTCTTTTGTATGAGAATTGTGGCGAAATCCATCATTTTTGGTGCCCATCGGGATTGCAAATTTCTTTTCCCGAATACAATGATGCGTATCACTATCAAAAAACATTTTGCAATTGATGGTCATCTGCATCAGCGGCCTTAAAAAGAATCGAAACAGTTACAAATGAAGGAAGACAATTAGTTTCTTCTTCTTTCGTTCTTTTTTTCTTTATATTTTAATAGGGCCTTTTCTCTCTTTCGTTTTAACTGTGTGTAAAAAGTTTACTTTTGAAAATATGGGGAATAGGTTAAGAGACCAAAAAGTAACATCATGAAAATGCGACCAGCTTCCATAGCTGCTGCAAGACCTCCATCTTTTTTTCTTTTTTTTTTTTACAAGAGAGTGGAGGAGATGATTGAAAATTTGGGCGATCCCCCCCACAAATGAATTTTTAATGCATGTGGTCTCAAACAATTCAATGAAATATGCATTTATTTCTTTATATAGTAATTTTAGAGAG